GCTATGTTAAATTTTGCCGTTTGTTAACGCTGACTTGGTACACTTTATTAAAGTCTGAAAATATAAGAAAGATAATTGGTTTGCAAAAGCATGAATAAAAGTAAAAATATTAAAAAAATAACGGGCTGGCAAAAGCATAAATAAAATAAAATAAGCATATAAAGAGATAAATTTAAAAAAATAAAAGCAGACGATAAAATTAGAACACCAGAGAGTTGTTGATTTTTTAGAATTAGTTTTGTGTGGAATTTAGGTTCTCATATATCCCGTTACGGGCACTTTATCTAGTTTGTTTTATAATATTTTATCTATCCCGCTACGGGTGAGTTTCATTATATCCCGTTACGGGTTTTTCTTGTTGTTTTATGATCTTTTCACTATCCCGTTACGGGTACTTTATATTTGTTACTGTATGTGTTGTGGTGTGAAATAAACGTTTTTTTAATAAAACATAGAACTGTTTCTTAATATAGCTTGATACGTTACAACTTAAATTAATATCTTGCAGTTTATATTTTTATCTAAAATTTTTATATTTCTTTTTCCCAACTGTTTCTGATTAAACGACATCTTGTGTCAAAAAATACACAAAATAAAAAGATGACCTCAAAGAAAGACTTAGAATCAAATAATCAAGAAACCTCTACTATTACGTTTATTATATAAGGAAGATTTATTTACAACAAAATTACAGAATCGCCGAAAATTCAAAAAGAAAAAAAACAAATCTCTTACTCTCTCAAAACTATTATTTACATTCTAAACTTACCATGGCAACCACCAAAACTCTTTTCGTTGCCATCTTTAAATAGGAACAAAAATAGGCTGCGCATAAGCACATAATATTTCACATCCTCCCACCTAAGTTAACAACATTAACAAAGCTAACTTACATAGCCTAAAGATATATTATGTTAAAATGACACTTTATAAGAATTTGAAATAAAAATTAAAGTTCTAAATCACTATGGAGTTTTTATAAAGATAGTTTGTCAGGTTTTCTAACAGCTCGTCCACTCCTAGTCACAACGGGAATTTTTGCAAAGCTCTTATCTTTCAAAGAAACTGGAATGATGTCCTTTCTACTGTTATTGGTGTTGAGTACGGCAAGAAATATACCCTATTTCTTCCACTCCTATATTTTATTAAACAAAAATTCTTAAAAGAAACTACAAAAGTGCAACATATTTCTAAAAACATAAACTCGAGTTCCATTGTATAAGTCAAAAGTTATTGGAGACAAAATAAAACGCTTTCACCTAACTATCCATTATACAAAATCTATCCAATTCTTATTTCAAAACGTAACAATCCTCCCACCGTTTTGATTGGAGGTTTNTTTCTTGTTATCATCTCCAATGATCACAATATCACCTACTTTCAATGGTTGAAAGGCGTTCTTTTTCTGCCTAGTACACAGGGCGCCTAAATATTCTTGACGAAACATTACTCGAAAAGCTTCTCTAATTGCTTGTAGGTATTGTATTCACCTTCGCAGATGATTGGGATCCGTTTTGGTTTTGATGTCCGGAACAAAGCTGGGTTTTATCTCTTTTAGGAAATCTGCAGGTGTAAGAGCAGTAAGACTGGCGTCAGAACACACAGTTGTCAAAGGTCTCTCGTTCAAAATGGCCTCACAGTTGCATAAAGCTGTTTGCATTTCTTCATATGTTAAACTCGCTCGACCTAAGGTTTCTTCAGCAGACCTTTCATCATTCTAACAAGCCTTTCCCAGAAGCCTCCCCACCAGGGAGCACTAGGAGGTATGAATTTCCAGGTAATCTGCTGATCCCTCGCCTTAACAAAAACCTGTTTAAAATCAATGCAAGATAATGCCTTTGCACTCCCTGTAAAATTCGTTCCGTTATCGCTGTATACAATCGAAGGTTTTCCTCTTCTACAAACAAATCGATGGAAACATAGTAAAAATGCCTCAGTTGATAGTGATGTGACTAATTCAAGATGCGCAGCTCTATAAACGGCACAGGTAAAAATGCATATCCAGGCCTTTGAATTGTCTTTCAAAATCACAGGACCAGCAAAGTCCACTCCCGTTACTTGGAAAACAGCTGCATCTTGAATTTTATCAGCTGGTGGTGATGCAGTTGGTGGATCTACCGATTTGGCAGAAAAATGCTTGCAGACTACGCAAGATCTCAATACGGATTTTACTGTTCTTCTACCACACAGCAGCCAAAATCTTTCTCTAAGAGAATTCAATGTGTAGGAAACACCAGCATGTCCATTTTTCTTATGTTCAAACAGTACTAAACGTTTTACTATAGAATTCTCTCCATGTAAAATAGCAGGTGTTCTAAACTCTTCAAAATCATCTCTTTTATATACAGTTGTTTTTAATCTATAGATTCCTTTCTCATCAATAAATACATCTAGAGTTTTAAGGCGTTTATCTGAAACTCCTGTAAATGACTCCTGCTGTATTAAGTATACAGTAGTTTTCTCAGTTTCTTCTAATTCCTTAACAGAAAGATCTCATTTTCTGCTTTCTTTATTTTTGCAATTAAAAAGAAATCTCTTCACCCATGCCATAGTATGTACAATTTTTCGATAGTCAGAAATATTAGAACTCAAAAGTTTTGTCACTTCAAAATTTTTCATTGTGGTTGTGACACCTTTTCTTTTCTCACAGTTTACTTCCTCCTCATTAACGACATCTTCAGACGAAGGCCACAAATCTTGAGGTAAGTGCAACCAACTGGGACCCTCTGACCATTGCAATCGCAGAAGTTGTTGTGCAGCATCCTCTACTTGGCAAATCAGCTGGGTTCATCGTCCCAGGAACATGTCTCCAGGTGTTAACATCAGTCTGCTCTCTGATTTCACGCACTCGATTATAAACAAAAATGGCCCATGGTTCACTTCTTTTGATCCAGGCCAAAACAGTTGTGGAATCTGTCCAAAAAACACTTCATCATGAGTTACCTCAGACAAAATTTAAGTTGAAAGACGAGATGCAATGGTTGCTGCCAGAAGTTCAAGTCGTGCTATGGTAATTTCTCCTTTTCCTGTAGGGGCTACTCTACTTCTCGCCTGTAGTAATTGAACTCGTACATTATTCTCAGACTCCACTCTAACGTAAACAACCACAGCATAGGCCAATTTACTTGTATCGCAAAAGAAATGAATGGAAGACTTCTTGGCTCCACTTAGTCCAAAATACCTTGGAATATTAATTTTCTCAATATACAGTACACCTTCAATCCATTTCAAAAATTCTCTTCTGATGTTTTCCTCAACATCATCATCCCAATTCAGTTTCAACTTCCAAATGCTCTGAAGAAGCAATTTTGGGATCAACGTTACAGGACAGATCATACCCAAAGGGTCAAAAAGTCTATGTGCAGCTGACAGGATGGTTCTTTTTGTTACTTTCTCAATGTTAAGCTCTTTAATGCAACTTGTACTGACTTGAAAAGTATTATATTTCTTATCCCATCTCATACCAAGAACATTTGTAGGTGGCTGTGAATTTTCCTCGCTGAAGTCGGTGTACTCCCACCCTCTAAGATCGAATTTTCTACTTGCCATTATTTCAGTAGCAACTCTTTCAAACATATTCAATTCTTCTATATCCTTGACACTCGTGACACAATTGTCTACATAAAAACTTTTCATTAGTTTTTGTACAACATATTCAGGATAAGTAGCCCTTTGTTCCCTTATTTCTTTCAAAACATTCATCAGGAGATATTTGATAGATGAGGACAGCAAAAATGGACTACAGGTTACTCCAAATACTACCCTGCAATGCCTGTAAATCTTTAAGCCTATATCACTAAGCCATAAAAATCTTAATTAATTCCTATCAGTTTCAGTAAGTCCGATTTGTAAGAAGGCTTTACGTATGTCTGAAACGACACCAATTCTCTCAGTCCTAAACCGCATCAAAATGCTTGGCATCGATTCAATCAGATTTTCACCCTTCTCTAAGCAATCATTTAAACTTAGAAAACCTTTGGCCTTAGCTGAAGCATCAAATACGGGTCTAATTTTGGTGGTGCTATTCGGTTTTATAACTGCAGGATGAGGTAGGTAGTGTACATTTTCCTCACAATTATCCTTTACTTCTTCTATTATTCCCTCCTCCATCCATTCATTGAAAACTTGCTCATACTCTTTATAAATCGACTGTGATTTAAGGCGGTTGACAATCGAATTCAATCTTTTATACGCCAGGTCATAGTTGGTTGGCAATGGAGGATGATCTTCCAACCAAGGCATGCTAACCACAAAACGGTTTTCTACATCTAGTCTGATTGTCTCTAAGAAGTAGTCTTGTGTAGCTCTTTGCAACTCTGCCTGCACTTTCTTCGCAGATGGATCTGTGATTCCCAAAACATCCAATGACCACAGTTGATTCACTGATGCTTCAGTTAAAAGCAATGAAAGAGAAGAATTTGTCGTCACAGCAATATCATTTTTCGGTATCTTCCCCATAAAAGTCCACCCTAGATGTGACTCAACGGCAACAGGACCTTCAATCAAACATTTTACATTGTCTGTGAAAAGCTTGCCGGCCACATCAGCTCCAAGTAATAATTTGACGTCATTAGATACTCCTAGTGAACTATACTCAGTAGCATTCACACATATTCCATATTCATTCAACTCTTTCATCCATGGACCATTAGGGATGCGTTTGAAATAATCACAAATCACTGGTTGATCTAAACAAAGTACTTTGCAATTAAATCTGTTATCCATTCTCGCTAAAGTAACTTTATATTGAGAATGACACTTTTCACCTGATGATACACCTCCAAACAATTGGTGTTCTAACTTAATTTCTCCACATTTCTCTATACCCAAATATTTGACTATGTCTCTCGTAATATATGATCTCTCAGAGCCTGTATCAATAATAGCTCTCACAAGTTTGTCTTTATTTCCATTTCTTATGCGCAGGACTAGAGTCTGTAATAAAACTTCAGGATGAAGTGATTGGCTAGTTAAGACGTTATCGCCAACGACACTTTCAGTTGCTTTACTCTCTGGGTTTTGAACTTCATTACTGGCCGCAACTCCTCTGCAAAGAAGTGCGTTGTGCTTTTTACCACAATTGAAGCATGGTTTCCGTCTGCAATTTATAACTCTGTGGCCTGGTCGTAAGCATAAGAAACAACAACGGGATCTTGCAACAGCAGCTTCTCTATCATTTAAACTCCAATATTTTACATTTTCACATTCCCAAGCATTGTGCTGATTTGCACAAAAAAGGCACTGTCTCTTTTCATGTGGAGAAGTAAGCAATTCAGAAATAGAAGGTTTACCAAATTTTTGTTTTAACTGGAATCTATCATTTGTAGGAATTCTTCGTTTCTCACTATCCTCTGTATCTATCACGAAGGATTGAGATGCCATGTTCACTCTCTCTTCCGCCTCTACTTCTCCCTCTACGAACTCTAGCAAAGTATCCAAGTCAGTCTTGGTAGTTGGTTCAGCTCCTTCAACATTTGGAACAACATGAAAAATTGACCGTTTATTTATAGTCCAATATATTTCCCACGCTTTGAGCGTTTCCTCTGGAATTGACGACTCGACTAGAGGAAATAACATTGCAGCATATTTTTCTCTTGTTACTCCAAACACTTCTAATGATCGAAGTTTTGATTCAAGTTGATCATAAAGTTTCCACAGAGATTTCTCAGATTTGCTTTGTTTCTGTAATACTAAAGCTAATAACTCTCTCACATACACTTGAATCAACAATTCTTCCTTTCCATACCGAGTTTTAAGTTGATTAATTGCAGTTTTATAACTCTCTCCACTCGGAGGAAAACTCCTTAAAAGTTCATCAGCAGGTGATCCTTTTAACATGGATTGCGATAAAGAAAGAAATTTGTCATGGTCGCCAATATTCTGATCTTTGTCAATTTTCTCAAATTGGCACCAAAAACTGAGCCAGTTTTTCAAATTTCCATCAAAGACTGGAAGCTTAATCTTTGGATACTGCAAATTAGTCGGACCAACAACTAAATGGCTAGTAACAGACATATTATGTTTTCCAGAAATAGAAAAAAGTAAATTTTCCAATTTAATATCAAAAACTCTAATTCGCGATCGCAACGCTCGAGTACGCC